TATTTTGTCAACGTGTTTCCATGTCACAAAATTATGAAGACAGGGAAGTCTAAAGTCAGTAGTGAGGGCTGGTAAGCTCAAGACTCAGGAGAGCCAAAGGTACAGGTGTAGTTCAAAGGCCAGCAAGTGAACACACAGGATAGCCAATGGTGAGGATTAAGTCAAAGGCAGTCTAGCAGGTCAGTCTTTTTGTTCTATTCACTCCTTCTACTGATTGGATGAGGCCCACCCAAATTATGGAGGGCAATCTGCTTACTCAAAGATCATTGACTTAAATGTTAATCTCATCCAAAAACACCCTCTGAGTTAAAACATAAAATTAACCATCATAGGGTCTTTGTACAAATATTTGCAAGAAGTGTTTTTAGTGCCAAAATATGGGTGATGCTAAACCTGATTCTGAAAAATGAGTGAATTATTTGTTAGACAAGATAAGTAGCAAGAGAGTGCCTAGACTAAGTCAGAAATCTCTAGACAGAGGGACAAGCATGGATTCTAACAACATCTAGGTTTAGGTTATAAACTGCTTGTTAATGACTATAATGCTTTCCTATTTAATATTTTTCTGTTCTAGGAGTGTTCAACATAATTGTTGTGAGGCTAGGCTCTTATTCTGGAATTTGCCAAATTCATTTTTCTGTCACCAGATTTGAGGGTTTTTATGCAAAACTGACTGTTTGTATGTGATGAGTTAGAGGCATTTGCACTATTTTTTAATACCATAGAATCACCTCCCCAGTTTTGCCACACTGGAGTTTCAAATCCCCAAATCAATGTTGGTAATATATAAAATGCTGCTGTGCTCATAATTTCAACAAGTTACATTTAGCTGCAGTTGGAGATGAGGCCTACTAGAAGCACATAATCATTTTACTAAATCTCTCTTTGCTTTCTTAGATATAACTTCCTTTGAAATGAAACACTTGTGGAAATGTTTATTATTTGAATGCCATGAGAAGGAGGGGTTCTTTTGAGCAATTCTTTTCGTATTTCCATTTCTCCAATTTTCACACAAAATACTTTAATATCTTTCCTGCGGTGGTGGTGGGGGGCAGACAGTTATATAGTGAAAGAGACATGCTTCCCAACTTCAAAGCACTTATACCTGTTTTCAGTGATTTTACAAAAAGTCTATTAAGTTTCTTTAGCACAGAATACGCCTTTTAAGAAAAAAAAGAAAAGGAGAGAGGGAAAATTCTGCATACCAGGAAACCCCAGAGAGGTATCCCCTTGTTGCCGAGATGTAAAAGAATTTACTGAGTGCCACATTTTGCAAGATGGAATTGAGCCATCATATATGGGAAATTTTACTGATGTGGCCTGATAAATGGCAAACAATAGGATATGTTGGAGTATATGAGGAAGCCATTTAGTATAAAAATCATTTGGCCTGACCTTGTTTTTCCAAAAGGGCCTGACGTAGCCACTGAACATGCATTGTATATCTGCTTTAAGTATTTACTATGTCCCAAAGACAAGAACATTGCCCTTTAAGATAAAGAAAACTATAACTTTCCACACATCAGCATTTCCTTAAGGATAAGCATCTCTCCCTAGACTAGAGATTGATTGCTGACCTACTGTGACCACCCAGCTCAAGACCACAGACCTGCTACCTGCTGTGTTCATCAATTGCTGTGTGAATCACTGTGCCAGCTAGGTAATCTTGTGACTATTGTAAAAGGGACGTTCCAATCATATGTGATACATGCTCTTTGATGGTATATAAGCACTTTGCACAATGCTACTTCTTTGGTGCCCTTCCTTCCTAGGGGAAAAAAGACCCCAGGCTAGTCCTCAGATCTAGCTCATAATAAACTCACCTCAATTTTGATTTATAGATTGGTTATGATTATTTGTGCCCACAGACCCCTACCACTTTACTCTAGACACTTTGGTTCAGCAAATCCATGTGCAAGTGGAAGTTTCCTGGAGCCAAGATTTTCTTACCATGTACTCAAAAGTATCAGACATGACCACTTTCTCTTTCTCCCGTTCGGTCTCTCATACTTTATATTCTTATGTAAAGCTTCACAGTAAACTTAGCTAGAAGGCCATGGTCTGAGGAAGTGAGACCTATGATAGAGAGAGGAAGGACTCCTCCCACATACCCCACCCCCACACACAAACAAACATACACATACAATGTTGCTAATGATTCTGGGCTAGACTAGTAAATAGGAGAGCCCTTGAAACAGTGATGTTCCTCTTGCCTGGAGCCCTCTTCTCATCCGTCACTTGGCTGCCTCCTTTTTATCTCTCTAGTCTCAACAGAAGACCTTCAGAAAAGACTTCATAAAAAGGGAGCACTTATTTCAAATTATAATTATATATATCTTTGTCAATTTACATGTGTCTCCCTCTAGAATCTGAAATAAACCCAATGAAGGCAGATGCTTTGCCTTTTTTGCTCACCACTATATGCCTAACATCTAGTGTACTGCCTGGAGCATAAAAAATACTAAACAATTTGTACTAATTAAATAAGTGGATATGTAAATGAATTAAATTAAAAAATAGGAAATATAGTTTTGTGAGTGTTGGGCTATTTACTTAACATTTTGATCGTCAGTTTGCTCATCTGTAAAAAGAGGAAACTTGTAACTTTTTCTTGGTATTTAACTGGCTTATGCGATAATCAACTGGGGAAATAAATGAGAAAGTGTTTTTAAACCTCTAAACTCCATAGAAATATTGAGGATTTTTTCATATCTGGTTACATCTACCAGGTTATTAAATCTTAAACTCTAAGCAGTGCAGTTTTAATGTCTGAACGTTACTTTCTCTTTAATTTTCAGTATGTCCAGTGATTTTGTCTGACTTAGAATTTCTCTCTCTACTCATACTTTTCTCCTCTAATTTTCCTATTGTTTCGTAATACAGGGGATGGCCAAGAGTTCAGTTGTTTTCTTAGAGGAAACTAAGGGTTGGATAAGTTGAAACCTGTGCAAAATTTCCTGTTTTTAACAAATGACAGGCAGAATCTCATGCCACATGCCATGACTCCAACTCCTGTTAAATCATACGTGGAAGACATAGCAAGCCGGAGGCTTAGTCATATTCTCTGGAGGTAGAAAAGAATGATTACAACAATTTGATTGAAATGATTCTTTGTCTACCTATTTAATAGTAGAAAACCTAGGGCCAAAGATTATTTTGTATTAATAATTATATATGCTAGAATTGTAAATCAAAGTAGATGCTCCATTTCTCTAATATTCTTTTGAACTCTATCAATTGGACAATAACTCATTTGTAGAGAGGACTGCAGTGTGATTTCAGATGGTGGTTTTCAACTGTAGGAATTAAGGCATTTCGGTAAAATATTATCTGCCTGAACTGCAATTCTGTAGTTCTTTTCCTAGCTATTATTTGATAGATTTCTCATTCCTACATTATTTTGTGCTGCCAACATGTCTCTGAAGCAATTAATCTGTGAGTACAACTTGATTATCTTTCTGGATTCATTTCAACATAATTCACAGGTGAACTGTATTCCCATTGTTGTGCAAGTATAACATTTTATTTTTAAATAACTTGATGCTTTAGCATATTGAGAGGAAAAGTGCATTTAAAGATAATTATACCTTCTAGCCAACTTTTCTTACCCTTAAATAAATGCATGGTTGGAGTAGAGAGAGAGAGCAAAAGCATGTGGCTTCATATATCTCTCTCACAGTCACAAGTAATATATATTTATATATAATAATATATATTTATATATAAAGATATATAAGATGTATCTTTATATATATAATAAAAAATTATATATCTATAATTCCCTATGCATATGATCAAATTAGCTTTATATGGAGTTCTCTGCCTCTGTTTTGTTTTCAAGGTAATCCAGAGGTGGTTGATCAATCTTTGATCAATAGTGATCATAACCATAAATTAGCCTCTTGGCTCATCACCACAATACTCTTAGCAAGACGTTTTTGGAAACAGTCCTGACACAGTTCCTCCCCAACTCTCCTCCCAACAGAAATTAAAATTATAAGTAATTTATTATTTGTTTCAGGATAAATGTATGGTAGATAGAATAATGGCCTCCCAAAGATGTTCATTCCCAAATGCGCAGAACCTATGAATATATTACCTTATGTGATAAAAGGGATTTTTCAGATGTGGTTACATTAATCTTGAAAAGGGAGATAATTCTAGATTATCCAAGTGGAACTGATTAATCGCTAGTGTTTTTATAAGAGGGACACAGGGGAATCACAGTGAGAGAGAAGATGTGAGAGTGGAAGCAAAGGTGAGAGATTTGAAGATACTACTGTGCTGGCTTTGAACATGGAAAATGGGGCATGAGCCAAGGAATGCCTCCTGGCTCTACAAGCTGGAAAGGAAAGGGAAGAGATCCTCCCCCACAGCCTCAGAAGGAGTGCAACCTTCCTGCCACCTTGACTTTGATTCATTGAATCCCATTTCAGGCTCTTGACGTCTAGAACTATAAAATAATAAATTTGTGTTGTTGTCAGCCACTGTTGTGGCAATTTGTTGCAGCAGCAACAGGAATCTAAGACAAAGATTTACCCTGAAAGCCGTGATACCTGAAATATAACCTATTAATACTTTACTTTTCTTTATTTTATCCAAGCACTTCCCATCAAAATATGTAGTAAAGAAACTGATGCTTCTTTACTAGAAAGAGTGAGAATAGAGTGAGAATAAACTATTCTCTTATTTATAAGTGTTCAATAAATATTGAGCAAAAACTAAATTCCAGGCACCTTAGGTGCTAGAAATAAATTTAAAGGTAAACAATATTAAACCCAAACCACAGGCCTTGTTCCAGAGAAAGGGCTGGAGAATGTCATTCATTATGGGTCTTTGAGCACAACACAGCCCGGGAGAGAGATGGAATTAGACTCATGCTTTCCACAAGGTGGAATGTGTCGTAAGGGTCAGAAGTGGCTACCTTTAGAAGTATCTGCAGTTCCAATAACAAACCTTCTAGGGTTTTCATAACAGCTGAACCTTATTCTCTATTCCAGGAAGAAATGAATCTGCTCCACTTCTTCTCACGGAAATAAAATTATTCTGAGGATTGGCTGTGATTTATAATTTTCCCCTTTATTATATCAGTGTGTGCATTGGTGAAGTTTCCCTTTAACTTTGGGACAAGTTATACCAAAATATACAGGTAACTTAGTCAAACTACTAGCTCGAATCACTGGCAAATGGTGAAATTATCTATCTCATACAGATTACATCAAGATCCTTCCAACTTTTAAAATAAACACAGTTTCAAAATCTTCAGTGATGGTCATTTCTGTATAAGTGTGTGCTTTTAGAATATATCTCCTCAAGATGTCTCTAGAATTATTCATATGCTGTTTGCAATAGTGCCTAATTTAAAAATGGTACGTGTGATCAGTTAAAAGATACACTTTTCGGGGCCGACCTCGTGCCGAATCTTTAAAATTCCATGCACTCCACTTTGGTGCACCGGGTTCACAGGTTCAGATCTCAGGTATGGACCTACTCCACTCATCAGCCATGCTGTGGGGGCATCCCACGTACAAAGTAGAGGAATATGGGCACAGATATTAGCTCAGAGCTAATCTTCTTCAAGCAAAAAAGAGAGGAAGATGGACAATGATGTTAGCTCAGGGTGAATCTTCCTCACACACACACATAAAATTTAAAACAAAAGGAGATACACTTTTCTCTATTTGTCTTATTTGATTCTCCCAAATTTCTCACAGAAATTATGGAAACACAATTTTTTTTTAACTTTTCATAAGGATAAACTTCAAACATATGAAAAAGTCTTTCCACGTATCTTCAACAATTATCAACTCTAAGCCAAACTCATTTCATCTATACCTCTCTCCTGGATTATTTTAAAGCAAATCTCAGAGATCACATAATTTAAATTATAATCATATAAGCATATATCTCTAAAAGATAAGAATAGTTTAAATACACATAGCTACAACACCCTTATCATACCTGAATAAAAAGTTACTAATTTCAGGTAAATTGTCTATAGAGCTCTCAGAATCTGGCTATTAAATATAATCTCACAGATTCGTGTAACATGTTAGATTGTCTCCTATTTTTCTGGGGAACAAAATGAAATTAGATTTATGGAATCAGGTCCATTTTTTTTGGCAGGAGCATTTCTTAGGTCATAGGCATTTCTATCAGAAGATACATGATATCTGATTGTCTCTCTTTATTAAGTGCTAACAGCCATTGATGATCTTTTCTATAAGCCACTACATTATTAGGAGTTGGATAATAGTGATATTCTATTTCTATCATTCTTTCATTAAAAACAAATTGGCATAATTTTATAAAAAGTAACTTTCCTATCAATTATTTATTTGCACTGAAGTACACTTTGTATAGTAAGAAGAGTTAAACTCTTGATTGCTTCCCTTTATTATTCAGTTGTGGTTTTTTTTTTGTTTTTGGGGGGTTTTGGCAAGGAAGATTGGCCCTAGGCTAACATCTGTGCTAATCTTCCTCTCTTTTTTTTATGTGGGATGCCACCTCAGCATGGTTTGACAAGTGGTGCTAGGTCCACGCCCAGGATTCAAACCTGTGAACCCTAGGCCACGGAAGCAGAGCGTGCACAAACGTAACCACTATGCCGCTGGACCACCCCCTACTCAGTTTTAAATACAATGAGTTAGTTACCTCTCATTCTCTAATAGTGACCAATGAGCTTTTTTGTTTTATTTCATTTTTTTCTTTTAACTTCTTGGCTTTGTTTTGATATCATTATGCATGCATAGGTTTAAATATGTGTGATGAATTTTAATTTACTGCAGTTATCATTCTTATTGATGGTCAAATTGCCTCAATTTTACGAGGGAGAAGCTTTTCAAATTGGTTTCTGGGACTTTTTGACATGATCCTAGTAACCTTCAATATCATGTTTGTTGTCTGGTTTTACAAGATGTTCTTAGGAATATCTTGTACCTGTTCTGACCCACGCTTCAATCAGCCATTTCTTAAGGACACCTGACTGATTCCTTTTGGTAGAAAATTCTATTCAGATACAATCTATTCAGATGCAATCTAAGTGGTTAGTGGACTCATTTGAAAGTATTGTCATTATTTCTAGATCTTTTTCAGGAGATGCTGTATTTGTTTTCTGTTGTTACACTAACAAATTACTACAAACAGTGGCTTAAAAGAATAAATTTGTTCTCTTACAGCTCTTGAGGTCAGAAGCCTAAAATGGATCTAAAGGGCTGTATTCCTTCTGGAAGCTGTGAGAATCTATTAGTCTTCTCTAGCTTCTAGAGGCCGCGTGCATTCTTTGGCTACTGATCCCATCTGCCATGTTCAAAGCTAGCTGCAGAGGATTTCCAATCGCCCTCAGTTCTTCAGCTTCTGTGGTCATATCGCCTTCTGTCTGACTCTTAACTCTGCATCCTTGTTATAAGGACCCTTTTGATTGTATTGGGCCCACTTGGATAATCCAGGATAATCTTCCTACACCCAAATCCTTAACTTAATTACATCTGCCCTATAGACCCCTTTGCTTTATAAGTTAACATTTGCGGGTCTGAGGATTAGGGAGTTGACATCTTTGAGGTACCATTATTCAGTCTACCACACATATATCTAGGATTTTATTTTGTTAATGGTAACCAACGCATTTTTGTTAATGGTAAAACACATCATGAGTTCACAGTAATAATTGCAATTCAAATTTAGGACTCCAAGGTTATTGCTTAATCTCTTCAACTTTGAAACTATATTACTTTTCTCTTATGGGTGAACTCCCAGGTAAAACACATCATGAGTTCACAGTAATAATTGCAATTCAAATTTAGGACTCCAAGGTTATTGCTTAATCTCTTCAACTTTGAAACTATATTACTTTTCTCTTATGGGTGAACTCCCACTTTCCCAAAATAGCAATATTACTTATTTGCTTTGTAGTACAATATGTACACAATCATCTCAGCATAACACCGCCCACACATTTACTAAAATAGCCTAAGACTTTCATGCTATTCTTTTTGTCCTTAGCAATCTAGAAAGAGGATTCATGACACTATGAACAAAATCAAATCCAACACAAATACTGTTTCTGAAAATAATTTAGAAGAAAATTGAAGTAAAACAATACTTTATTAAAGAAAATGTTTCCCCTAAGCATATTTGCATATCTTTCAGATTTTAAGCTATTTTCCTGAAGTTTTTTACAATTAACTCACTGGCAGCTTATTTTTGTTCTGTGATATTTTAATATTAAGAGAATTAAGATTATAGAAATGTAGAGAATTAGGGGTTTGAAATAAATAAATTATGGTAAGAGACAATATAGCATTCATGTTATAATTTTATTTTTATGATGAGATGTATATATTTCAGCTAGATTAAACACATAAAATCCTTAGTGTTAATAAGATACTAAATCCATCTCTTTTATTATTTGAGGGAAGTCTAATAACCTTTAAAATTTTTCTGTGAATTTCTTTATGGGCTTCCTTCTTATGGTTATTTGTGTTCATGAGTTCTGGAAGCCAGGACTCTTCTTCTTATAATTGTTATGGTTATCCACTATCTTCTGCTGAGACTTTCTTTGTATGTGGAACTCAATCTATTTCTTTGATTTCTCCCTCTACATAATCAAAACAGAACCAGACCATTTACCAGTCATGTAAGTCCTTTTTACCCCTCACCTCTCCACCCTAGCTCTAGTTAAACTCTGAAAGTGCCAGAAGTATTTCTGTGTAGCTGCAAATTTTAATAAAGAATTACAGTAAAGCAGGGGACGTACTCATGACATAGTTAGACACTTACCCACCCACCCCTTAATATCTACCAACATAGTTATTTTTTCTGACTTTATTAATCCCTTGATCTTCTCCAAAGCTTAATTCCCTTATTTTTCCCTGCAGCGAAAGTTTATTCTCCACTCTGCTAAGCTCAGGACTCGTATCAACACATCCAAAGTCTCATATATGCCTGTGCTAAAGGAAAGACTTACGCATCTATACTTGTTTTATTTCTGTTGGAAGTTAGGAGGACTATCAAGAACTTTCAAATTTTGGCCTTCCTTCTATCTACTCCTTCTATCTATTTGTGTAAGTGGAACAGGTGGTTTATAAATTCATTTTCACACATATAGGAATTTTAGCTACCTACACTTGAAAATGTGTTTGAAAAAGGTGTGTACTCGGGATACAGTGGTTCTCTCTGGGTTTGTCTAATTATGGCTATCCTTTATGTACGTTTAATTTGTTTTTATGTTATGAGTTCGCTTTTGTCTTCTTTAGTGATTGTTTATTGCTTTGTGAAAAGATAAATATTGGAAACAAAGGTTAAAAAATCAAGTCATCTCTAATTTTTCAGGACATTGATTTGTGGAACTTGTTTTCTGAATCTTTCATTTCTTTTTTCCTTTCTATTTTAAAGCTAAATGTTACTGTTTCCCAATTTTTTTAAACTGAATATTGGTAGAAGATGTATTTTTAATTATCAATCAAATTTAACTTCTTTTCATCCTGAACATACTATTTTGTAACCCATTGCAATTTATGCATCAATTTTGTATATTTACATTTATTTGTTACTTGTATCATATTATTTAGAATTTCATGGGTCTTTATTATTGTGTATTGAAATTTTCTCCAAATTTTTACCATTGTGAATAAAGCATAGAATAACTAGTTGCTTGAATATGAATTTATAATAAAATAAGGAAAAGAAGCTAGCTGAAATAAAGTTCAAGGGAGATGCCCAATCTTGAACACACTATTGCTTTTGACCGTTTGGGGTGGCATGGTCACATAAGAGATGAAGCCAAAGAAAAAGATGAAAGATCAGGTAAGCCATGCAGAGAACAAGGATGCGTAGAATTGAATGGCTATAACAGGAGAGAGTACAAATCAGCTGAAAGGAAGACAAAGAGCACAGGAGGTACAATAAAAATTTGAAATTGCAGCAGAACCTCTGTTAACTGGTTACATTCTTGATGTTGTAGCAAAAACAAATGAGAGGCTTCCTGGGGCGTGGGCTTCTCAAGGCCAAAGGCCACAGCCTACTATTTTGTCTCAAATCACCGAAAAGGGCAAACCCTAGTTGAGACTGTTGGGACCTAACTTTTTTGGAGTTAGGAGAAAGTTCATCTATATAAGATAGAATAAAATGTGACTAGAAATTTGAGGAGGAGTTCTGAGGAGGGTGATTTCCTCTTAGCCAAAGGACAAAGTCAGAGAAAACAGTATTCCTTTTTCTTATTCAAAAATATAGCATAATAAATAGGACGTTTTTCCCTTGGGTTTCAGTTTTGAGCGGGAGTTCTGAGAGAACAGTTCAAAGAACTATCTGGAAAACATGACTTGTGTCCTCTGCCATTTATAGAACCTACCGGCTGGTGCCAGACTCTTACCTTGAAAAGTTAAAAGGTGCCAGGCTGGCCAGAGCTGCCTCTGATGCGAGACTGAGAAGAAAAGGGCAATGGGTCAGCTCTGTACTTATAAAGAAGAGGGGCAAAAGGGCAGAGTCTGATGAGACAGAAGGAACTCGTGAGACTTAAATGAGATTCAGAGTGACTCCACCCAAAGAGGCAACCTTCCAGGGCACTGTGTCTCCAACAGGAAGAGCTCTCCTTGAGAGTGACTGAGAGGAAATCTAAAGAGATCAGCATGAGATGGCATTGCCTGTCTCAGGGAACAGTGCGGAGGGGGGATCTGAAGAACACATGGAGAGCACCAATGCCAGAATACTGAGTCATGGTCAGAGAAGCCTTTTTTGTAGCTCACCCCTCGTCTCTCGCTCTGGTACGAGCCAGAGGGAAGACAGGGAGCGATAGAGAAGGAGTAGAAGTGTAGGTAGAAATATCACGCAGCTGAGCAGCTCCGCCATCTTCATCTTTTCCATGTCAGGTTTTATGAGCTACATTCAATCTTGAACATTAAATCGAAAGAGGTATTGAAACTTTGTTAGTATACCAAACTAGGTTTTTTAAAATGCCAAGAAAATAAATAGGCTTGATGTTCATCTGGTTTGCACTAGTATAGCTGTATTGGTTGTTAAAAAACTGAATTCTTCAGTAGCACTGGCTGAAGAGGGCTTTACTGCCCTCGCCACGTCAGGAACTTCCCCGAGATATTCCAGACACCCTTACTCCCAACCACCACTGAGAAACTGTTTTAGTGCCTGGCATAGCAGGAGTTCTCTAGAATCACAGCTCCTGTTGGTTCCGATTGGTCAGTGCCCACGTTGAATGTGTTGTTAAACATTTGAATATAACTCAGGCCAGAAAAATGGCTAGAAAAACTGTGGGATGGCCTGATACAACAGGGAGAGAGATATTTATTTTGCGGATTGCATGACAACAAGTACAGCTCATTTTTAAAAAATGATTTTAGTACGAAAAGAATGTACATTGTTGATTTTACATTGATTTGTCTGCTTTCAGGCATTACCTAATATTTTTCTTAGACCAGTTCTCTGAGGTAAGCATCATCAATCCCATCTTTAGATGAGGAAATTGAAGCTCAGAGAAGTAAATTTTTCCAGGTTAACAAAACTAATAATTGGTGGACCTGATTCTCAAAGACTAGCGTGACTCCAAAGCCCATCCTTTAGCTTTATGAACATTGCCTCTGTTCAGTCACCTGTGCTTTCTCTTCCATCCTTATCACTTCTACATAAAGAAGTTTTTATCGTTTGGTTAATTTTCATTTACACTAATAGGAGCTCCAAATAAAGATTTTTTTCCTCTTTAACATTACTTTTAGATGGACGTGTATTGGAAAGGAATCTGGGAAAATATTATGTGAAAGTCAAGACGTAAAACATTCTCCTTTTTTAATTTGCTTTTTCAAAATGAATTTCTGTAATGGTGGTTTTATCTTATCTTCATAGTAATCTGCTCTTTTCAGAGAATAAAAAAGTTGAGGACATTTTAAACAACTGTATTGTGAGGTTTAACAACCATCAATATAAAGTATGTGGCATAGAGTAGACACCAAATATATGATAATTATTAGAGTTATACCTGTTAACTCTATTCTTGATTCTGCTGAGAAAATGGGTTTCAAGTTCCTATTTTCAAAGATTGCCCATTTCATGGAATGCTAAAAGTATTCTTCTTTGTAAGTTACCATCTGCTAAAAGTGGTCAAAACTATATTTCTTGTGTTTATTCACAAAGTAAATATATTTAAAAAAATAAAGGAATAAGCAAATATGCAATCACTGGCTACAGTGAATGTAACAAACTTTTGCTTGTTCGTTCTAAGTATAAAGTCCTATCATTTGAAGGTCAAAAAGCATATTTGAAAGGTACAAATACCATGTACAAGCCTGGGCAGTTGGAAATTAAAGTCACACACAATGCCAGTATGACATTTTAGATGTTAAATGGAACGCAATTCATTTCAGATGGTATAGCCATTGTCAATCCAGATCACTGTTTGATCTGCAATTTATAGTGAGATGAAGCAGAAAGAATTTTTCTGCCTCAGCTTCTTGGCTTTTAACACAATGTTTCACAGATGTCTGACCTTTGGGTTTTAATGCAATAATGTGGCTTCCCTTGAACAAAAATCTAAAAGCAGATTGTCAGACAGAAGTTGTTTTTCAAAGGAGAATGGTCCCAAATTGTGTACAAAAAAGATATCATATATCATGTATTTTTGTAAATGTCTACGCATGTCAAACATAGTTGTTCCCAGGAATATTTCAAGAATAGTTAGTAAATATAAAATGTTAATACATAAATTAAATTATTTTTTAAGTTTAGACACTTGAGAAAAATGTTTAATTCTCCTTGGTAAGTATGTTCATTCTTTATCACGGTTATCACTTTTTCTGGAAGTTTTGTTATATACATTATTTGTAGTCACATGGACTCATGGCTCTTATTTTTTGTGATGGTTATTTCTATTTGGCATCGTTTATCTGCCCATTGAAGTGTTAGTATTAGTTGTTTTCACCTTCTCATCTGCAGCCTTTATCTCTCTACTACAGGTTACATGCTGAGCATTGATACCGCTCCTAGGCTTTTCCTCATAGATTTCCAAACGGATGGAAAATAGACAAAAGCCATTTTCTATTGTTTGACAGCTTTTAATCAATTAAAATTAACCGATATCCTCACTTATGAGTGAGAGGTTTTTGGTTTTTAAACCCTTAAGTACATTTTTATTGTTGATGATGATGTATTTGAAACACTTGTGGTATTGCTTTTTGAGTAATATCTATTATCCTTTCTTCTGCATAATTGTTTTTAAAGATTTTGATGGTGGGTAGGGGTTGCATCTTCACACTAGTTCTAACCCTGTGTAATCATCATTTGACATAAGTAGAAGTTCTGCCCTTGCTCTTTGTGTGCCCTGCTGTTATTTTTATGGGTGGTTTCTTCTCATTTCATTGCTGGTTTTTCTTTTAATCTCCTTCTTATCTGTGCAGATGTATTTGGCCTGAGAATTAGCAAATATTCCATCATCGGTAGAGGCCCTTTCTCGCTTTTGTTCAGTAGTGATTATAAAACTCAAAAGCCAACCATCAACAAAGAGTGAGCAGAGGATACAGTTTTTTATTCTCCCTGTAGCCGTTTGCTCCTGATTGACCCCTCCAAGAAGCGGGTACCTACCTCAACTCTCCAAGTCACTTGACTCAGCTGCTATTTCTCCACATCTCTCCTTGACCTTGAACTGATGGCCTCCTGTGAGCACACCTTCTGTCTTCTCTCTCTCTCACTGGCTTCAGGCTCTTTCTACCTATCTGATATCTTAATGCTACTCTTCCCTGCTGCTATACTGCTGGAATAGCTTTGATCCACAAGATGCTCCAACACTGCTGCCTGCATAAAATCCACTCCTTTTTCACGCTGACTTGTATGCTCCTCTCCTCTAGCTTGACTCCGAATAACTCTCTACCCCCTCAGAACTCAAATGGTATGTAGTTAACAGCCATTTTGTTTTTTTAATACAGGTCCTCTTGACTAGCTTTAGTCCAGAATGTACTTAAACACGTAAATGAAAAGTCCCCTTTCTTTTCAACAACTTTGTCTTTTATGTTCTTTAACCAAACTCCTGTCCATGTTTTCATTTAAGCATTTCTTATCCTTAAGTTTCTGTACTAAATTATCATTTTCCCTCACTGTCTGATGATACCTCACCATTTATTATCAGCATTTGTCCATCCTATAATTCTTCATCTCCATACTTTGCGTTAGTCCATGTAATAACTAGATTCTTAGTGTAGTTTACATCCCGGTTATTTCATCTCCATCTGCTTAATATTATGTACATTTCACATTATTTCCCTCTAATCTTATTGTGTGTGTGTGTGTGTCAGACAGAACCTTAGTACAGTTTTGTCTTCTCAGGTATAATTTATACTTTTATTCTTCTCTAAGAATAATTTTTCAAATTTTACATTAATTCTGACTTTTTATGTGAAATCCTAAGTATAACCTGTTGTTTTATAATTCACATTGTTTATGCAGATGGCAATTATTATGTATCTTCAAAACACCATACAGGCACTCCTAAATTCAACAAACTTTATAAAACCAAGTCACGTGCCAGGGATGAAAATGCAAATAATTTTTGTCCTACTTTCAAGGAGCTCATGGTATATGAGGATTACAGAAAAGTAAACAGGATATTTCTCTATATTTTGATAAGAGTTAAGATAGAGATATGCATAGGATGCTGTGGGAAGCTAGCAGAGAAACATTTAACCCAGGCAGGGGGAAAAAAAATGCCTGGTTGCTTACCTAGTTCCTTGAAGATAGAGATTGTGACTGTTTTATTCATTGTTCTACTCTGTCCCAGCATTTCTCTGTGCACACTGAAGGTAACTAAATAATATTCAGTGAGTGAACAAATAAATAAAATGACACATATGTAGATTTCTGGAGTGTACTTAGTGGTTTAGGATACGCCTAACATTAGCAAATCAGAGATGGAAAAGGCACTGAGCATTAGGGGA